GTATATATTTTTATATATATATATACATATTATTATATGAATATATAAATGTATCTCTATGTAGGTATGCACTAAGCTCCCAGTAAAGGAATAGTTCGTTAGATATTACACCGCAGACAATGTATCCCTTATCGATGTATTATTTATTTATTGGGAATTGTCTGGGATTGGTGGAGTGCTGACTCGGCGTTCCCCGGGTTAACCCTTCGCTGGGCGGCGCTCTGCTGACCTCTAGCTGACTCGTGAACCGGACCAGGCGCCTTTTGTTTCCTGAAGCAGAATCCGGTAAACAATCCCCAGCACTGAGTCCAGGCCAGCACAGTCCACGAGAGCTTCTAATTCCCTTCTCCTAATCCTCCCCTGTCAGTCTGCCGTTGCTCTCTCCCAGTGTCTCCCCACACACACAAAACACACAACAACAAAAGTCAACTTCATCCTGGTGTGCAATGGAGCCCCTGAGTGTCCTCCCAGCTATCCCTACACATCCTTATCACAAACATTCCTGCTTTATCTATCAATTACACTCCCATATCTGCTTTTTATTTCACTATCTTCTTTTTTTTCTCTTCCCCTTTCCACTTACCTTCCCTTTTCTTGTACTTTCTCATGGAGGATATTTAGATAAATACTTCCCAGGGCACTAATGGCAGTTGAAGTCATAATGAGGATCACTGATACACTGCGGGCACGTTCAATTGATCTGGATGCTGCTTTTAGTTTTTTTTTAGGGTCACTTTGATAAGGTGGAAGTTGTAACAATCATTTGCTTTTATTTATTTTTTTTATATCATTTGCATTTGTATGCTAGTGGAGAACAAGTAACTAAGTAGAAAAGAAACATAAACAGGGAAAAGTTAATAGCAGTGTAAAGAAGTGACATTGAATCAAATGTTTGAAAACATTTCTTTTTTTTTCTTTGTCTTTTTTTTTTTTTTGTAGTTTGTGTTTTTCTTTACTTTTCACGCTTAGCAGATGATGAATTGCTGCCTAGTTAGCTGCTTTTATGGTCCATATATTAGAGCAGAGTGTCAGGACTGCGAGTCTAGCTAAGCCTGGGACTAAACTGTTTGCCAGCTGTAAAACTCTTTATCCTGCATTAGCTTTGGACAAATACCGCTCGCTACTGTTCTGCCCATCACTGACCAGTCTCAGGCCCTTCCCGTGAAGTGTCTGGATAGTTTGGTCTTCCTACAAGTGCCCCTCCATGTAGTGCAGGCTGCCTACAGTTCTAAAATGTCATGACCTCTAAAGCCCCATTGTGAGCAATATACACTGATTGTACCCTGAATGGACCGCCTGTTGGTGTTTGCATCAGCCAGATGCCACAGATTGCAGTGCAGCTTGGGCAGAGCTTGACCATTTCCCGGAATGGGATTTATATTTGCCTTGGGCATGGTCACAGGGACTGATTCAATGGTGGCTCCTGTGAAATATGACAGACTTCTGTATTGTGACCTCCATGCACCTGGGGAATGCACAGCCTGGACTCTTTGGGGGTCCGGTTATAAAATGCAACTTTCACATATTTTGATTAGAAAATGTGTGAATCTTTGATGAGTGAACTGAAACTTAATAAATAGACCCCTAAACTATGCAGTATACTAAACCTTTTTTTTTTAAATAGAGTAGGAAAGGGTTAAAACCTGTCATTTATTTGTCATGTGTCCTACTAGGGACAATCACCTTCACTACTACACCCACAGACCCATCAGGGAGTAATAGGCAATCTCTCCCAAGGGAAACCCCCTCTAGTTGTCACTGGAACAAGTGACCCACCTTAGAAGATGTCCTTTCTGTTCCTGTTCTAGTGACAACAATTTTGAAGATTTAAAAACCTTTCAGGGGTTGTAACCCATCAAAAAGGAAACGTTTGGGCTTTTTATGGACTTTAACCCCATCCCTGCTGGAAGGTCATGCCAAGTCACTGGGGCAGGGGGAGATTTGCGGATCAAGCTTTCCTTTTTCCCCTGCTGGATCTGACACTTTTGTTTCTCCTGGTTGAACACCTCGATGACAGCTCCTTCCTCTTCCTAAATGTAAAGCATCTAAGCGGCAGGATTCCCGGGATAAGCAAAGAGATAAGGCAGGGAGGGGTGCCTGCTTCACTCACTACTTTGGGAATTTTTTCTTTCCTTTGAGATTTTCATCTGACAGCCGGGCACAATCTATGGGCTATGAGAGGTCCCAGACACACTTTGGAAGTGGGGGAGGGGGACTCCTTCATTGCTGGAGTCACAAAGGAAATGTGATCTGTGTGCACTCTTTGCTGGCCGGGGTTAATTTCTGGTTGCCTCAGCAGACAAGGTAGAGGGGGCAATGATCACTGCTACACGAGCCTTAATGTATGACCCGAGGCCGGTGCTTAGATCGCTGCTGCTGCTAATGATGATGATGGGCTCTCCGAGGAAGAAAACTCTCCTCTTCCTCCGGTGAAGTCTCGGTCACTCCCCGCAGATCCGAGCGCCCCGCTGATCGATTATTTGATAATTGATTCTCCCTCCGACCAATAGGAGGCCGCCTCCGCCACGCCGGCCACTGATTGGACGCGAGATTTTCTACCGCTGCCTACTGAGATTTGGGCTAGCTCACTGCGCGCCAGGCGGAGGGGGAGATTTTCTTCCGCAGCGCTGAATGAACTTCTCACTACTTCGTCCTTCCCGGTCTTGTCTGCTCTCTCTGCCTGCCATGAATGAAAAGAGTGTAAAATAAAGTCCGTCTATGGTCCGCGGCGGTCCCCGCCCTGCATACATTGTAGCCGAGGAAGGCGCAGATGGAAGAAAGTGTTACATTGTATCAAGTTGTTCCACAGCTGTAATAAAGTAGAGATGGGAATGTGAAGTGCCATGTGACGGTGAATGGACGAGGCATCCTCCAAATGCAGAGCCAGGCAGGGGGAAGCCATAGTCAGCTGCAGGCTGGGAATAGTTGCTCTTTTTTTTTTTTTTTGGA